CCTCAGCCCATCCCCGCGCCGGGAGCGGCATCGCAGCAAGAGCCCGAGACGGCACCGGAGCAGATCCCGGGAGAGGCGCCACAGATCGAGATCTAAATCTCCAGGTACTTCTGCCACTTCCAGAATAATTCTGGCAAGTCTTCATCAGCAGCACATCCACTGCAAGAAAAATCTGTCACCATATCAAGATGGTAGCACAGGGGTTAAATCTGGGTGATAAAACTGCTGCTCACATGAAAGCAGAGCTGGGGAACTCCTTTAATGGCTGCAAAATTGTCTTAAGTTTTCAGATAGTTGCCAGGAGGTTAATGTGACTGCCTGGTTAAAGCTAGGGCTGTTCTGGCAATGTCTAGCACACTTGGTCACTAGAAGCAGATTGCATTAGCAAAACCACAAAGAATTCCAGTGGCAATGGAAATAACTACTGCCTTTTTATCCCACAGGGCATCACCGTAGTCACAGACACAGAAGTCATTCCAAATCACCTGAAAGGTAAAGGCTTAGCTTATTTCTGAAGGGCACTTTGGGAATTAAAGGATAGGTATTACAGCGTTGACTTTTTGTTTTTTCTGTTTCAGATCTAAGAAAAGTCACAAAAAGAGTCGGCGAGGGAATGAGTAACAAACAAAACCCAGCCCGCTGTTCAAGGACCTTGAGCTGCAGTCTAATGCTGTCCTGTTTGCTCCACAGGACAGCTGGCTCTCTACTGGCTGCTTTAGCAGTCCTTTTCTTTCATCATGCTCATTTTGTTCTCTTGAATTTTTTTATTAAAGGTAAGCTAAGGATACTTTTTATGTAGTTAGTTACTCATCCTTGTGATAGAATTTGAAGGTTGTTTTTTAATTGTTTTTCTTGAAGCCTGTAAAAACTTAATGAAGAGCAATAAAAAAAGGAAGGTTTGTCTTTAAAGGCTCCTGGCTGTTTCCTTCATAATAATCTGTTGAGATGTCCCCTGGTTGAAGCTGGTTTCATTCTCAAATCAGGGCCTTGTTTTGTTAAACTGACCCTGCAGTCAGGTGCCAAAGGAAGACTGTATTCAGTCACAAACACTGCAGGGCTCCCAGCCCTGGCCTCTCAGAGCTCCAGTACAGGAGAGGAAGCAAGGCTGTCACAACCCAGTGTGTGTATTAAAGGCTCACTTGACAGTGCTCTCCAACATGTGGCTGTCATTGGCTGCTTTGTAAAAATTATCCTTCAGTGTAATCTGCTGCTTCTGGTGATGCCATCAGAGAGTTCAGAAAGTTAAAGTAGGACAAAGCTCTGCTTAATTCTTCTGGAGTAAGAAGTGCAATATATTTAAAGACAGTACACCACTACTCTGAGCACAGTTTGTGGCCTCCCTGTGACTGGAAGCAGAATTGGACACCATGATGATGTTCAGCTCTACCTTTTCTGAGTCAAGTTAGTTTTTAAAATTTAGAATAATTAAGCTCTTAATGAAGATATAATTCTCCTCCTATTATATTTGAAATCAGTTGTGTTAAGCCCTTGTGTACCATGTCTTTATTCATGGCCCTTCTTCAGGAGCAGGGACAGGCAGGTTTATCCCTGAACTCTGCATTTAGGACTTCAGGATTCTCATATTGCCCTGGGGAGTGCCGACAACACAAGTGTGCACAGGGAATTTATGGAAAGCCCTCTTTAAAAATGCCTCCCAGTACAGACTAATTTTTCCACAGTATTTGCGTATGATTTTGCAAAGCTGATAAACAGAAAAGCAGGTGTGCTCTTCCTTCAAGGATAACACACACATGGGCTGTGGACAGCATATGCAACAACACCATCATGGAGAAAAGCAGGTCTGGTGCTTGTAGCACTTGTTAAAACTGCTCATATTTCCAAGATTTCCACATTAAAGCCATTTCTATTGTTCCCATTAGAGTGAGCATGCATACAAATAGAGAAGAGGAAAAAATCTTACATCCTTTTTTTGCAGTTTTATTTTTCTTTTTAAAAAGTTTTTTGGCACTACATAGTTCTGTAAAGAATAGAAGTGACAAATTTTTAAACACATGAAATCCCCTTCTAATTTTATTTTTTTTTTAGAACAATATATATAAAGTCTGAAGCAACCAAAGTATGAATACAGCTAATAGAAAATAAAGAACTTAATTTTAAAAATTCTCTCTCTTTACAGTTTATCAAGATAAAACAAAACACAATTCCCCTTAAAAATAGGGTAATAAAATAGATGAAATTTGTATCACTCAGTTTTGTGATACTAGTAAAAACTATAGTTCATATCTATGTACAAATGATACAGTTTAAAAACAGTCTTAAATAATCTTGTATCTAAACATGTTGCATTAAGATTTTAAATCAGAACCTGAATTTCTTCCTCCCCTCCCCCCACCCACCCACAATCCCATCCAATTTCACTTTTTCTGTTGAATGTAATTCAGATTCAAGTGTGGATGTCCTTGAGACAGAAGTGAGAACCGCTGGTTACTCTGCATCAGTGGACCAGCTAAAAGAAAATGGATTACAATTACTTCAGCAAATCACATATTTAACAGTGCTTGGCTATATTCTGTGTACTAATCTAACTTAGAAATAAAACCATTTACTAGACTGACACAAATGCTATCTCTACAGCTAACTCATTTAATGGGACAGTGTAGAATTACTTTAATCCTATCTCCAAAATTCCCTAACAATCACAAAGAAATCATTTTGTTGCATTACTTCAGTTATTTAACAAAAGTAATTTCAGAATTTTAAGTAAATTCAGTTTTCACTTGGAAGCCCTGTTAGAGCCAATAGATTATATTTTGAAAAAGGATTTGGTGGCCATATCTCTTATTTTACAGCAGGTGACCCTCCACAGCATGGAAGCTGCAGATCCCTCCAAGTCAAATTTGA